ATAAAATACATAATTATAATAAAATTAAATATAATAAAAATTAAATATTACGGAATTATTACTGTAATTATGTTAATTATAGCAATGTTAAATCAAGATTTGACAATCTTAAATAAATTACCATTGCATCTAACGAATTCTTATAATAATGTCCTTTGAGCAGATTTTTATTAAGCATGTGATCACATATACACAATCAGAAAATCTAAAATCGCCTATAAATTACGAATAATTTCACTTTCTGATTAATTTCAAATTGTACTTAAAGAATTATTTAAAACATTCATAATCATGAATTAATCGTAGTTATACTAGTTAATAATTTAAATATCCTTTATTAAATTAAAGTGAGATCTCTATTTGATAATGCACATTATAATAATTTTGCTTTATTGCTATGTATCTATAAAATTTTTTATTTCTTCAATAAATATATGACAGCAACAACTATATATAGTGTAAACAAGAAAATAAAAATAAAAAAATTGGAATTTAATTAATCATTGGAATTTAATTAATCAGTAATTATAAAATTTGTGAATCTTTTATTTCATCTCTTTATTTCTGAGAGACATATTTTATTATCCTCTTGCCAATAATATACTTTTCACTTTACATCATAATCCTACGAAAAAATACTACGAATTTTCAAGGAGACACTACCACCTCTGCAGCTGTAGGAGGCAGTCTAGCATGAAGAAGTGAGGAGGAGGAAGAGACAGAAAATTAGAGTTGTGCGCGATCAGTCTCCCTTGTGTCGCGCATCGCTTCGACAACGTTTACACCGATAATCGTGGCACGGATAATGTCTAGTCGCGAATGTTTCCGAATTCATTGTTTCGTATCAATTTGATTTTTTATTATTATCAAAATCTTTCACGCTCAAAAATATTTCACGAAGTAACACTTCTCAACTCTTTTTGTGCCAATTTCGCGAAAAATTAATAGACCGATGGAAATTATTAATAATGCAGTTTAATTTATAAAATATTGTGGAAAAAAACAGAATTTGTGAGAAAAGAATAAATTCCTGCATTAAGAATTGCCTGTGATTTTGTCAAATTGGCCCTCGATTGCATGACATCGCGATACAGTTAATAACGAGACCAGAAAAGTATCATTGCTCCGGTACCATAGCAAACAGTCTTCACTGTTCTCTAGTACCGCTCTTTCTTGATACAACCGGCCCTAATAGTGAAGTGCGATCTAAATATAGATAAGAACGCGTGTTTTTGACGTAAATCGCGTTTGCTCTTCTTATCTCAATTCAGCGTGAGTCGAAACTTATTTCATCAGCGCTATCGAAGATTTTGTATCATGAAGAGATTTATCTTCCGAATTCTTCTTACGTCTTGCGTTTTAGGTAAGTTTCCATTAATGATTTTATAACGTTACATCAACAATTTCAAATTAATTAACTTCTCTTTCTAAATTAAATTTTTTTTTAAATTACGTTTAAATCACTTACTACATAAAAATAAATAAATAAAACAAAGCTAAATACTATTGGACATTCTATTATTATTACTCGATATCTCGTAAAAAATTGCTGATCAATTTTGAGACATTTGAACAAATTTAGAATTTTCAAAACTTCTTTTGAAAGTGTTATTGATAGATTGTAAAATTTGTAGTGCAACGCCAACGAAAATATTTGCGAAGCAGACATGTGTAAAATTGCATACAAGAAAACGTTGGCATAACACATATTTCATGTTTCAAAATTGGCACAATTATATCTTAATAATTTTGCTCATTTTTGTTAATAAAGTTTTTCAAAAAAAATAAAATTTTGTAACTGATCATCTTGTAACAAGCGTTACTTGACCGCTTAATCTTCATGCAAATATTTCAGATCATTTAATATTATAGATCCGCCCTTCGTAATCATAGTCTATATAAAAATTTAACGCGTTACGAATTATAACAAAAAATGTCCATGAAATAGTCTCGCAAATCTATTAAATAATCCCTTTGTCTCTTCAAAGTTATTTCAATCGACATAAAACATAAAAATAATTATTTTTATGCGATATAAACCGAAGTAAAAAATCTTTATTAATATATGTATCAAAAAAATTATACTGTGTAAAAATTATACTGCGTATGAAGAAATAATAATTTCTTATTATGTTACTAAATAAACTAATTAATTTTATATGAATATATTATTGTACATTCTATTTTTTTAATCAAACATCTGTTTATGCTAATATTAATTTTGATTATTATATTCTAATAAGAAATTTAAATTGTCAATAATATATTGAGTTCGATCAAAAATTCGCTACGAATTTCAAAATTCAAGCAGATATAATTTCATTAAAAGTGAACGAAATTTAAATTTAATAAAAGGTTTTTAAAACTTAAAATTTCTACTTTTAAAAGGTCACTATATTTTTGGAATTTCTATAAGTTTGGGTTTTTAAAACATTATAACACGTAATACATATACATTTTGCAATTTAACAAAAATGAATTACAAGCTTTATTAACACATTAGCTGTTTTGTATAACACAATATACTTGCGTTCGTTTCAATCATGACCGGAAGTTATTAACGAGTTAAGTTCAATGTCGCATCTACTGTGAGTGTCATAAACGACTATAACACTCCCTAACGTCTCTTGAGGCCGAACATAATAACATTTTATGACGTTCAACACTACTATTGTTTTATTATATCTGGTTTCACGTAACACTGTCATGTGCATAATTTACTATCGTTGCATTAATAATATGAATAAAACTCAACAAATGAAATTTGTTTCGATAATTTGAATCAAATAAATTCTTAATTGTTTTTTGCTCACTAAATACAAAAATAATAACAAAAGTTTTACAGCATGTACAATTTTTTTGTTATTTAAATATTTATCAGGAAATATTTATCACGTCATTTTTAATAAATGTATATATATATATATATTTAATATATAAGTATTACAGCTTTTTGAATATCAGACAAGAAAAACAAAGACTTTCTAGAATCATCAAAGGTGTAAGTTTTACTGAAATCTTATAGATAAGTTAATCTATCATAATGCATAAAACTTATAACTTTGAGAGATAAATAAATAAAATTTAGAATTAATATATAAAATTTAACATCCTAATGTAACATCCATAATTGTTAAACAAATATTCTATGAATGAAAATTAGATTACATATATCGGTATAAGCGTAAACTTATACCGATATAGTAGATTAATAAAAATGTTACCGCGTATTTATCCCGTCACTAGTTTATATTTATACACATCGTCGTCATCTATCTAGAAAAAGCTTTTTCACTGAAGCATAGATACGTCATCTTCCACGTCATTGCCAAAATTTGCGTTTTTAAATAAACCGTGATACATCGATAAAATTTCTAAAAAGGATCGAATGTTTTATCAAAAACTGTTTTCCGTGTAAGTATAATTCTTTGCTACTGTCAATAAAAACTTATATTGTAATATAAAATATAATAGTACACCTTATATTATGTAGAAATGAGTTTTTACATGGTTTGGAAAATATTTTTAAAAAATCGCGAAAAACTAACAATATGACGCGATGTCAAAATTACAAATGAAACTCTCGTAGCGATAATTTCCTAAGTGCTCTGTGAAATTTAAATCGAAATATCGGATGTCACGTATCCAGAACGGTATCCAAAAATTTAATTTTGTCAGAGTCGATACGCGGCCCACGTGCGTGAACATATTCAGTCGCGCGAATTTCTTCACATAACATAGCACCACGCGTCTCGTAACATAATAAACGCTGGAATCTGGCTGCGATCGCGCGGTGAACGCACCCCAGAAGAGAACTCAGGTTGGCCTATAAATAACAGAACTTTGCGGTCATGCCGCCAGCGCTTGAAATTTAGTCGTCGAAAATTATCGAGCCGTAAATTACCCGTAACTTTTTCCATCATTTATCGCAAACAGAACAATTATTCGCATCAATAAACAGTCCATAAAAATTGTGCAATTAATTGTCTCTAAATAAAAATGTCTTTCACGTAATTTCTGCTTCAAGAACACAAATCAAGTCAAGCTGTTATGCTGACGGAATCTCGGGCTATCAATGATCTAACCATTTTAAATGCGATTAAAGCTACACAGTAACTGCTTTGTGTTACAATAAACAGACTGTACTTAGCTTCTGTTTAGTTGAATTAACTATTATAATCGTGTATTATATTTGACTAAATTCAAGCTAGACAAAAGAGATTAAGCATCACGTGCCTGTCACGATTTTTTCTTCTATCATGAAGTTTCTTTTTTACGGTTTCCATTAGACGAACGCGGTCGTACAAAGTTTCGTCTCAATTGATTTGGAGAAGAGCGCGAGCGATGCAGTGTAAGTTGGGGCGGAAATTGATGAGATCGTCGATACTTCCGGATACTTCCGATCGCGAAGTAACGATTTCGTCTCACCAATTCGACGGAACCTGTTTACGCGCGCAAATACTTCGCTCCCAAATACGATAGTGCTCACTTACTACAGTTACTACGAGCGAGCTGCAAACTCGAGCCAACTATGCGTAGTCGGCGTACCAGAAATTCCTCTCGCAGACGCAAAAGATAAAGGTCGATAGTTTCGACGCTTTCAAGCATCTAAATTATATTTGTGAATTCTGTACTTTAGACCCGAAATATCTAGCTTATGATCTTTTAAATACTTAAAAAAGAAAAGAAAGCAACCCACGACACACATGCCTAAAAGACTTCTTTAGTTTTGAAACATAATAGATGTAGTAAGTCTTAAGCCAACAACAACTGACTAACAGTCAATTATTCTTCTCACATTTGATCAATTTTTTAAGCCTTACTACACCTATATTAGGGCTATTTTCTGTGCTGAACTATACACTTCAAGTGTGATAGATATTTGACATTTGGCAAAAGCAAAAAAAAGAGTTTTAATGTAGTCTAGTGGAAGAATAAAAAAAATCTTTTGGTTAACTATATGTATACATGTTATTGGAGAAAATGCAAATCATCTCACGCTGTTCAATTTGTTTTATTTCAATAATAATTTAACTTAATATGATGTCGCGTCTCCTTCGCTTCTGGTTCCTCCATCTTTGTTGCTGCTCATTTATAATACTCACACAAAACGACATAACATTTACTCACCAAAATACAATTAACTTCAGTCACTCGCGTACCAATTACCGAAATACGTCAATCACATTTTGTACGCAACATTTTCGACACTCGTATTTTTGGGTGATTGAATAAATGCGCGAGTTAAAATTGAATGTAAAAATCCACGGAATGTAATCCAAAAATACAATCATACGGCTGAATGCTCTGTATGATGACAAATTTCGATTAAACAAACCTCACAAATTACGCATTTTATAATAAATTACGTTAAATTTTTACGTTATGCAGTAAATATTAAAATATGATTTAATAAGAAATTAATAATAATTATTAACAATATATTTAATAATTAAAAGCATCACAACATTACGTGACAAAGTCGATTTATTCCGCACTGCGTCGTTTCTGTAATAACAAAAAATTTGAAAATGATATCGGCAACTTTACTTTAAAATCATGCGATACGATGATATTAATAAGGTCGATTTAATGATTTATTAAGATACGTGTGTGTGATAAATATATAAATATACATTACTTAAAAAAATCAACATCTTAGAACACATTCAAAATTAATATTCAGAACATCATAACTCGGTGAAAAATTATTGCACACAAAAAATCAAAAATGTGTTTGAAATCTCTACTTTCGAAATCGGTAATTGATATTTCAATCTAACTGATTCTTTATGGAAATATACGGATACAAATGAATACTCAAATCTGAAAAATTTTTACAAACTTTACGAAGATCTATGATGTGAAATAAAATTCACATAAAAATGCGGTTTACGGTAGTTGAAAGAGTGAATCTTTACCTTCAATTTGCTTATTTATTGAGTACTGTACGATTTTTTTTTACTGAGTTATTGAATGTTGAAGCAAAAGTGATCATTTTTTCTTCAACGTTATCTCCATAAAGAATCAGAAAATATCAATTACCGACTTCAAAAATAGAGAGCTTTCAAATATTTTTTTGATTTTTTGTCTTCGATAATTTTTCATCGAGTTACGATATTCTCTGAATATTGCGCAATTTTGAGCGTGTTCTGAAGTGTTTCCTTTTTATTTGTTGAGTAGTATATACAATTAAAATTCAGTATTGCATACGTACAGTGAGTCATTACTTCAACAAATACATACGTACAAAGTAAATATATAGAAAATAACTGGACTCTACATGATTTATGTAAGCAATTTTTTTTTATTTTTTGCTGAGTCCAAAATTAAAAACTGATAGTCAATTTCAGAAGAAGAAAT